CATCAGATCTGTCGTCGTATTACCCTTGATGTCCCAAATGTCATCAAAATGTCTTCCTTTCAATATTTGTTTTATCTTCAGGTAAAGAAAAAAGTTATTGGAGGCCAGATCAGGTGAGTAGGTATTCCAATAGTTATTTGTTTACTGGCTAAAAACTCCCTCACAGGAGTGCTATGTGAGCCAGGGTGTTCTTGTGATGCAAGAGCTCCTTTGGGTCTGTTTTTGCACACACCTTTCTCATGCCAAGTTTCAGTTAAGATGTTCTTGGTTTTTCTGTCAATATTTATTTGGTCTGCTATGATTCTCAGTCAGCTGATGATTTTGACACACAATTTGATAAGTTTTTGCAATGTTTTTGTCATCTTTGCTCACAATGGCCATCCTGACCTGTCTTCATCAGTGACACTTTCTCTCCTCTCAGAAAGATTTTTAATCCATTTGTACATTGCCATTTTATTCATGGCATGTCCCTGATTTCATTTCCACTCTTGCCAAGTTTAAAAAGAAATTTAATGTTTGTTGTTCTAATTCAAACTCTTAACATTCTCGCGAAGGCAAACAAAAACATGCAACAACAATGAATGCCACTCAGCAAGACACTGCCACACTTCAATATGAACAGTTGTGAGACACTGATATACCAAGGTTATAAGACCTTACCAAACATAAGGCCAACATAAGCACATGATAGCAAACTGATGAACTTAATTGTCAGACCTCGTATATTTGAAAAATGACTGTATAAATACATGCCAGAGATTATTTTACCCACCATTCCACTCAATGAGCACATGGCCAATTAATGCATTTGTTTAACAGCAATAATAATTTCAACAACTAATGATGAGCTATGTACTCTCAAGGTCATGTGGACCTCTGTGAAACAACTGACTATAAGGTAACCACGTGGAGTTTGGGGAAAGGAAATCTCTCCTTGTCTCAGATTTGGTAGCAACTTTGGTGGCTCTGGTTAGTGGCCATAGATTAGATTATTACAGTAAGGAGCTACTATGCACCAAGTAGTTTAACTCTTTAGATAATTAAGAAAACTGGGCCTTTGAGAGTACAAAGTTAGAAGTGCTTAAGACCTGCTGGCATCCATACTGGACTTTTGAAACAAAAGCTAAAATGCCTTCTGTCTTTTCATACATATACCCAGCTTAGTGTATTTGTTTCAGCTTCAACTTCTGAGAAACCATTACTCAAAGGTACCAGGGCAAACCCAGAAGTATTTTTGGCAATTATGTTTCAAAAATTAAGATACAGGCCAGGTGCAGTGGTGGCTCAAGCCTGTAATCCCAGCACTTTGGGAGGCCGAGGTGAGAGGAATGCCTGAGTCCAGGGGTTCAAGACCAGCCTCGGCAACTTGATGAGACCTTGTCTCTACGATATATCAAAAATTAGCCGGGCATGGTAGTGCGTGCCTGTAGTTCCAGCAACTTGGAAGGCGGAGGCAGAAGAATCACCTGAGCCCAGCAGGCTGACGCGGGGCTGGCCGTGAGCGAACCACTGCACTACAGCCTGGGCGACAGAGTGAGACTCTGACTCAAAAAATTAAAATTAAAATTAAGATATAATTCACATGCTATGATACCCCTTTAATATGTACAATTCAATGTTTTTTTAATTGTAGTAAAATACACATAACATAAAGTTAACCATTTTCAGGTATACGGTTCAACAATGGTATTTAGTATATTCACAAGACTATATAACCGTCAACTAATTCCAGAATATTTTCATCACTCCCCTCAAAAGCCCATACCCATTAAGCAGTCACCCCACATTCCCTATTCTTGTCATACCCCAGGACACACTAATCTATTCTTTGTCTCTACAGATTTGCCTTTTCTGAACATTTCACAAAAATAGAATCATACAACACGTGGCCTTTGTGTCTGGCTTCTTCCACTAAGCACGATGTTTAGAGGTTCACCCACACTGTTGTATGTATCATTTCTTCATTCCTTATTATTGCTGAATAACAAGCCACTGTTCAGATATACCACATTTTGTTTAGCCATTCATCTTCTAATGGAGATCTGGGTTATTTATAGTTTTTTACCATTAAAATTAGAGAATGCTAATTTTGTGTGGATATTCTCTAAAATAGATACGTATTAAACAGAATAAATGGACAGAAGAGTATGTGTATTCTGAATGTTGATAGACACTGCCAAACAGAATATACTGACTGCATGTCCATCAACAGTGTAACACTTCCTTCCACCTTCATATTACTATATTTTATTCTTAAAATTTTCCAAGCTGGGAGAACAAAAAAATCCTAATTATCTTAATTTTCTTGATAACTAGTAAGGTGCAGCCTCTATTTTATACTTTTTGGGCTACTTATTTTACTTTTGTGCTAAAGTTCTTTGCTCATTTTTCTTTTAGGTTGTTTATAACTTTTACTGATCTGCATGAGACACTGATTGGTATTTCAATAATTTTTAAGAGTTGTAAATACTTTTTGTGCTGAACATGTTTTATCCCACGTATCACTTATTTTTAACTAGTATATTATTACTTCCAGCTGGATTTTTATGTTGCCTAAATTTTCTACATTACTTTTTATGCTTATTGGAAATCTTGTTTTGCTTAGAAAGACCTTCCCCATTCCCAAGATTTTAAAAATAACCCACTTTTTAAAAATTACTTCCTAGATTAAATATTTTCCACTTGGCCATCAATACATTTAATTTATGTGTAGAATGTTAGATAAAGCCTTAAATTTATTTTTTAAAAATGTTAATAGCCAATTACTTCCACTCAATTAGAGTAATTCATACCTACAATATTGTGATATAAAGGCTGAATATTCCTAATCTGAAAGTGTGAAATCTGAAATGCTCCAATGAACATTTCCCTTAAGCTTCATGTTGGAGCTCAAAAAGTTTTGGATTTCCAATTTTCAAATTAGGGATGCTAAACAGATAAGTATAGAGCAAATATTCCCAAATCTGAAAAATCCAAAATCCTAAACACTTCTGCTTCCTAGCATTTCAGATAAGGGATACTCAACTGTAATAGAAATATTTAGTCTCTGCCCCAGTTTGTGGTACAGAACTACCAAGCTCTTAACATTTCCTGGGTGACAGGAGAGGGTTAATGAAGTTAACTCTTGATGGGCTCCTCAAGGAGAGGTGGTCACCATGATCAGAAGCTTGGAACTTTCAGTTCACCCACCACCCTATCCTCTGGGAAAAGGAGAGACTAGAGTTAATAATCAATCATACCTATGTGACAAAGCCTCCATAAAAATCCCTGAACAACAAGAGCTCCTGGGTTAGAGAACACATCCATGTACCAGGAGCGTGCATCCCAAAATCATAAGGACAGAAGCTCCTGCACTCTAGACTCTTCCATACCCCACCCTGTATTTGGCTGTTCATCTGTAACCACTATAGTATCCTTTATAATAAATGGGTAAGTAAAGTGTTTCCCTGAGTTCTGTGAGCTATCCTAGCATATAATAGAACCCAAGGAGGGGGTCCTGAAAACTTCAATTTATAGTTAGTTGATGAGAAGCACAGGTCACAACCTGAGACTTGCAAATGGCGTCTATAGTGAGGGGCAGTCTTGTGGGTTCCAGCACTAACCCTGGTCAGTGTCACATTTAAACTCAACTAGAGTGTGGGGAAAAATCCTCGCACATCTGGTGTCAGAAGTGTTCTGTGTTGTGTTGAATTAGAGAGTAGCAAAAACAATTTGGTTTTTCCTGTCTCTTACAATGCTCCACACTTAAACTGCCACCATCACAATAATTAAGCTCTCAAGTACATTTAGATCCGTTGCTAGTTTCTCTATTCTGCTCTTCTAATCTTCTGTACTAATACCATACGATTTTACATTAACAACTTAACATCTGATACATAAAAATCTTATTCACAACTCTTGCTTTTTCATAACCTTCTTAGATTTTCTGGCACATTTATTCTTTGAGATGAACATTAGAATCAACTTGTAAACTTACCTGCTGAAACTCTCACTGGAAATTTATCAAATGTATTCATTAATTTGGAAAGGACTGATAAATTAATAATGATATTAACTTTACATTTCTCGGAAATATGCTTCACCACTTATTCAGGTCTTCATTTCGTATCCATCAGTAAAATTCTATCATTGTAAGTTGGATAAAATTTTTCATTTATTTTCTTTTTGCTTCCATGTATCTACTTCTCATCTGTACATAAATGAAAACTTTCTCTAATAATTTTTGAATAAAAGATCATTCCTCATGTATAAAATAGGGCTATCAGATAATCTCTAAGAGCTTTTCAGCTCAAAATTGCCCCAATTTTCCATAAAAACTCCAAAAACAATAGTCACTAAAAATCATCTAAACAATGTGTATATTTGTGTATAAAAAAGGCACATATACCAAGGCCGGCCAATTGGTTTCATTATAAATACCAACTCTGGTCCATCAGAAATAGCTGCCAAGAGTGGTCAGTTGAGAATAGCTATACTCAAGGGAAGAGAATACCATAAATTACTGATGTTATAAGGGAGGAAGTAAGAAATGGTGGCAGAACTACCAAGTATTGTCATACACGAAACTGACCAAACCTATTAACAGTAGTTATTTACAGAAGTGGAATTATGGCAGAAGGTTTTTATTTTCAACTTTACATTATTTGTATTTTTTTTTAAATGAGCAAGTATTACTTTAAAAATTAGCCAAAAAAGGGAGGGTACTTTAAGTTTGTGAAAAATATTGTAACTTAATAAATACTTAACAGTAGTAAAGTTCTATTTCATTACCTCTCATAAACTAATAATTTCCTTGGGAATTTTTTCCAAAATAAAATCCCTACAACTTAAGCTTTTAAAAATGCATTTTAAAAAACTTGTCTGGATAAAGCATTCTTTAAATATTATTTCCAATATTTATGCCATAATATCATAGTAATACTCTTCGAGTCATCAGGAAAGCATGAAGATAAACTAAGAAATTATATTTAAAAAAGGATTTCAGCACTTTTCACACTTACAGTTCAATTTCAACCATCCCTTTGGTACATCCTCTCTTCACAAAAAACCCAGCCTAAGACAAAAAAGAAAAAGTTAGCTGTGTTGACATTCCCAGTTTAACAATCAGAGATTTAGCAGTTGTTATTATTTGCCAAATTAAGATTTTTTGAGTAATGACTTGCATGTCCACTCCCATCACTTTCTTAAGGTATCCTTCCCAGATTTGGGTACCTCCACTATTCCCTCCCACAAATTAACAATAATATTAGTTAAAATTTATTGAACTCCTATGAACTAGGTAGTTAGCCTCTCACAAACCTCATGATAAAGCTAATAAGTGGCAGGAAAAAAACCTGATACCAGGAAATCTGGCTCCAGAGCCTGTGTGGTTAGCTACTATAATAAACACTCTCTGAGAAGAGAAAAAGCCTGTAGGAAAATAAAGCCTATAGTTTAACCACAAAGCACTATATCAAAGCTTCTTACTACCACTGAGAACTTTTATAGTTGCACAGATTAAATATTAACCACTCTAATATTACATATCCTGTTATCAGTTAGGATATATTTGTTACCAAGCATCATTTAAAAAGGAGCAATATAAATACAATTTACATAGCAAAATAGACCTATCTGAGCTATCCCATATGTCTATAAATCAAAGCACAAAAACAGATCCTAGGCCTAAAAAATCAAACTGGATCTTAAATCAGGCTATAAGTAAGTAATAAGTATCAAAAAAGAAAATATACCTTTGTAAATAACCTTTTTAATAGTGATAATGACAGTGATGATAATTATTTCCACAACAGCTAATATTTATTAAGCTGTTGTACAAAACTTTACATATTTTTCATTTACTACTCATGAGCAACCTTGAAGTCCATCTTATAGTTGATAAAACTGCGAAAGACAGGAAAAAAAAAAAAAAGACTGATCTTGTAACCAGAAAGTATAGCTTAATGGTTAAGAGCATAGGCTTTAACATCTACTATCTAAGTTCAAATCTCAACTCTGCCATATACAAGTTATTTGACATTGGTCAGGTTACCTAACCTCTGTTTCCCAAAATGGAAACCAATGACATCTTTGTAGGAGTGCTCTTTGTTCATTAGCTTGCAACAATTAAAATACTTCATACCAATAAGAACAAAACAAAAACTAGGAGGCAGTTCTTATTATAAAGTATCCACACAGATGGTGCAGAAATATGCTAAATTTTTATATTAGCATTTAAACAAAAACACAACATTAAAATATTTTTGCAGAGAACTTGGGTATCCTGTAAATAATCTGTGTATACCCAAAGGGTTATACTCTGTCATCTAGGAAACAGTACACTCCATGGACTTCCTTAAAAATCCTACCACTCAAGGATAAGATATGTTTTCTTTATGACAAAAACATGAGAAGGCTGGCAAAAATTATTACAGACCAAGTCACTCCAACTGTACAGACACTGGCATACAATCCAACAGACCATTACATAGTGAGAGGAATTTAATGAAGGATCTGACAACTTAAAAACTATACACTGATACTCAAAAAATTCTGAGTTCATCCTTAGATGCTATCCACTTCTTGTGCTCAAGGTCACAAGACTAATTATTAATAGAAGAAAGTATCTTTTCTACCTTATAAACGCCTCCCACAGAACATTAAAAACATACATATATTGGAAAAGTTTACTTATAACCTTAAGGGGTATTCACTTCAATCTTATAACCTTATGTAAAATTTTAGTCTAGTTTAAACTTGGGATATTTTGATGATATTGCAATATTTGCAGTAATTCATTTCAAGCTTTAAATGTTTTAGTAAGGTGACAACTCAACTTTCAGATGTTCTTTTTAAAATACGTTTTAGCCGGGCTCGGTGGCTCACCCTGTAATCCCGCGCCTTTGGGAGGCTGAGGTGAGTGGATTGCCTGAGCCTGCGGGTATGAGACCCGCCTGGGCGGCGAGACCTCATCTCTACAATAAATCAAAAAAATCAGCCGGGCGTGGCAGCACATGCCTGTAATTCTGGCTACTTGGAAGGCTGAGGCAGAAGGATCGCCAGAGCCCAGCAGGTCGAGGCTGCGGTGGCCGGGAGCGGCCACTGCACTCCAGTCTGGGCGACAGAGTGAGACTCCAACTCAAAAAAAAAAAAAAAAAAAAAAAGTTTTTATGTGAAATACATTAAAACCCAATGTATACACAAATTTAATGTACTATTTAAAGAAAATAGCACCCACTATCTATCACCAAAGCAAGCAAATGAACACTGTCGGTGTCGACACTCCCTGTGCAACTCATCCCAATTGCATCCTTCTCTTTCCTCAACAAATGCAACCTCTAAGCTGATTTGATCATTTGTTTGTTTTTAAGTATTACTACATACATACATATCCCTAAATATTAAACCCATTATTTTATGCTTTTGACCATCTGTACATAAAAAGCATACCTCACATACTCTTCCAATATAGCATTTTTGCTTAAAATTATGTTTTTGAAATTTAACCAGTGAGCTGTGGTTTATTTTCACTGTCATATAATATCCAATGTGACTATACTAGAATTGATTGCAAACAGTGCTGCTATAAATATTTTCATAATTTCACCTAGTATAAATGTACAAGAGCTTCCTAGGGTATGTAGGAGTAGAATTTTTGAATGATTGGGTATACGTATCTACAGATTTACTAGATGCCACATAATTTTCTGAAGAGTGTGTGCAAATTTATATTCCAAGAGTGCATTAGAATTCCCATTGCTCCATAGTCTTGCAAACACATGCCAGAATTTTGAGAGACTGATGAAGATACTATGCTAAGGTTAACACGCATTTTTCCAATAATTAATGAAGCTGAACATCTTTTCATATATTTACCACCTGGTTTGCCTCTTCCATAAAATGCCTAAGTATATCTTTTGCCTATTTTTCTTCTAAGTTGTTTTAAAATCTGGATACCAATTTTCTGCTATATGTCTTGTATATATCATCTCTCAATTTGCAGCTCATCTATTTCTTTACAGTGTCTTTGATGAACAAAAAACTTCTTAATTTTATCAAAGTTGAATTCATTAGTATCTTCTTTTGGTCTACACTTTTACTTAAGAAATTTTTCTTTAACTCAAAGTCACAAAGATATTCTCTATTATCAGTATCTTCTAAAAATCAATCACATTTAGATCTTCAATTAACCTGAAATTAATTTTTGTTCAATTGTGAGGATAGGACTGAATTTCATTTTTTCCTACACAGAAAACCAATAGTCTCAGTACTATTTATCCATCTTTTCCTTACAAAGTCAGTGTTATTTTGTTTTTGAGTTGGAGTCTCACTCTGTCGCCCAGACTGGAGTACAGTGGCCGCTCCCAGCCACTGCAGCCTCGACCTGCTAGGCTCTGGCGGTCCTTCCACCTCAGCCTTCCAAGTAGCTGGAACTACAGGTACACGCTACCACGCCCGGCTAATTTTTTGATTTTATTGTAGAGATGAGGTCTCGCCAAGTTGCCCAGGTGGGTCTCGAACCCGCGGGCTCAGGCAATCCACCAAGCCTGGCTCTAAGCCAGTGTTATAATAAACCAGGTGTCTACTAATCATGACTTGTATCTGGGTTCTTTATTCTGTCCCATCACACTCACCTCCTGTCTATTCCTACACTAATACCACAATGTCTTAATTAGTGTAACTTGATATTTAGTAGGGCAAGTTTCCCTGTTAGTTTTATCTCTTTAGGAGTATCTTAGATATTCTCAGCCTTCTAATGACAGCATTAGGATTCTGACTGGAATATAATGAATGAATATATATATCAATGTGAATAGTAACTTTTTATATTTTTTGGGGATAAAAGTTTTGCTTTGTTGTCAAGGCTGGAGTGCAGTGGTGCAATCATAGTTCACTGCAGCCTTGACCTCCTGGATTCAAGTGATTCTCCTGTCTCAGTCCCTCAAGTAGCTGGGACTACAGGTGGGTGCTACCATGCCTAGTTAATTTAAAAAATTTTTTTTAGGGATGGGGTCTCACTATGTTGCCCAGGCTAGTCTCAAGCTTTCAACCTCAAGTGAGCCTCTTGCCTTAGTCTCCCAAAGTTCTAGGAACACAGGCGTAAGCCAATGCACTCAGCCAAGAATAGCTTTTATAATAGATCTTCCAGTCCATTAATAGGGTTTTCTCTCCACTTATTCAAATCTTTAATGTTTTAAAAATAAAATATTATGATTTCTACATATAGATCTTACACATCTTTTGTTAATTTATTGCTATGTAGCTTGTATTTCTATACTATTGTAAACAATATCTATTTTTAGTTGTATTTTCTGTTTATTGTTAGTATACAGAAATGTAATTTACTTGTTCTATAATCTTACATCTAACAATCCTGATAAATTCTCATATTAAATCATCAGGCTTTTCTGGAGATTCTTCTTGGTTTTTATGCACTCATAATATCTGTGAATGACAGTTTTGATTATTTATTTCCAACTCTTCTATCTTTTGTCTACCTCACTGTTCTACCTAGAAATTCTAGTACAAAGTTAATATTAGTAACAGTAGGAAATCTCAATTTGCTCCTGAGCTTGTTAAACATTTTCATGAATCTCTTTTATAAAATTAAGTCCCTTCTATTTCTTATTTGCTAAGAGTTTTTTTTTTTTTTTTTTGAGTGGAAGTCTCACTCTGTCACCCAGACTGGAGTGCAGTGGCCGCTTCCGGCCACCGCAGCCTCGACCTGCTGGGCTCCGGCGATCCTTCCGCCTCAGCCTTCCAAGTAGCCGGAATTACAGGCATGCGCCACCACGCCCGGCTGATTTTTTGATTTATTGTAGAGATGAGGTCTCGCTGCCCAGGCGGGTCTCGAACCCGCGGGCTCAGGCAATCCACTCACCTCAGCCTCCCAAAGGCGCGGGATTACAGGCTGAGCCACCGAGCCCGGCTTGCTAAGAGTTTTTAATCTCCATCTTCTGAAATGATCAGGCAGCTCTTCTTTAAAACAAGATATGTCAATTTTTCCTTATGTTTAATAAGTCTCTTGAATAAATTCAATTTGGTCATAAAGTAGTATGCATTTTATTTGTTACT